CTTCCCTTCCCTTCCCTTCCCTTCCCTTCTCTTCTCTTCTCTTCTCTTCTCTTCTCTTCTCTTCTCTTCTTTTTTTAAGATCTGGAAAGACCACCACTGCCTCACTGATTTTCATGTCTTTGGTAATAAATCTATACAGAAGAGAGGAAAAAAAAATAGCAACAGACCTGTTGAAGTGCTGAATTTTTTGAATACCTGCATGAGATAACCAGAGATAAATTGTATCTGAAAAGAATTGCCTTTTGTCTGCTGAACAATAAAGAGCTATATYTTTTTTTTCGTTTTACTTGCAGGTTCAGCTCCAGGTTTGCCACAGAAGTTCAGCTAACTTTGCCTTCATTTCCTGTTCTGTGAAAGGCAATTATTGGTATGCATTATCAGAAGGTATACTGCTATTTTCACATTTAACCAAATATTTATAAAGTGCTTGGAAACTCATTGATAAGAATATTATAAAAGGGCAAAAATAAAGTGTCCTCTTTATATTCACCTGTAACTAGTCAATCTTTTATGGGCTGTTTCTGCATCAGATAAAAGTACTTGATTTTTATCAACAATTGAACATTGTTTTAATTCCAGGATAAACTGCGTAGATGAAGTCAAAAAACTGTAAATCACTGCTTAGCTGCAAACAAAATACTGATTCACTTCACTGGATCAGGCATGCCAGAAGCAAGTGAAAATCCAGTTTAGTTTTGTGTGTTCATACTCTTCAGCAAGCCAGCAATTAACTTGAGGGGAGAAAAAGTCTTTCTGAAAGTTTTTCTAAATCAGAGTTAGTGCTATTGCACATCTCTATAAGAATTATTAATCTCCAGCAAAACTATGTGCATTTGGCACTCTTACTGGTTGATACATTTTACTTTGCTAAAATAGGCTTCCGTTTCTTCATCATTCTTTGTTTAGGTCTGACTCTCATGGTTGGCTTGTTCTGGTTCAGTTGCTGGATTAACTCCTCAAGAAGGAACTCGGCCTGCCTGCTGTGTATCTAAAGTTTTGTGTTTAAAGGTACAAATAAGACAAAACCAAATACTTCTTATCTTCAGAGAAGACAGCATGAAAAAAACCCATGTCCTTCCTGGTTGATAATGAGAACCTCAGTTCTGCTGTTTTCCTCTAAGAGATGAAACGCTTTAACTCTACCTTTATTTGCTCCCCAACCCTTCACCATTAACCAAGCSAGTTCTCAAGCAAGGTGTTCCTATGCTGAATTAACTAATTGCATACCAATTTTATTATTTTTGCAGCCATTTCCCAASCACATTGAAACATTCTGAAACATCATTTGAAGCATAAAGAAGTTAGACAAAGTATTTGCTTTCTCGGGGATTGAATTTGGATTTAGATCAACAAAACGATTGTAAAACCATCAGATGGATAATCTTCTCTTAACAGAGGAGTACAGAAAGGATTCTACAGGTTGAACAGTGATGCTTTTCTCTAAAATACTTATTTCCTGGTAGCAACAGCAATAATGCTTATAAAACAAATGTACCAATTTTACTGACYCAAATGGGCATCTATATTTCAGATTTGCTTAAAGCCTGGGTATAGGTACAATGAAAATGCTTTGGCAATATTGTATGTGCACTATAGAACAGAGAATTGTGTGACTACACTGTGTGAGAAAAGGTCGCTTCCTAAATAGTCAAAGCCAGCAAAGACTGTGCTTCAGGTGCTAACATTGCACTGTTAATACTAATTGTGGGGTAGGCTCTGTGGCTAATTCCATTACAAAATCCTGATTATCACATATATTAATAAAAAGCAGGTTTTATTAATACGTCTCTGTACTCAGTTTTCTCTATTTCTAACATCATTAGAGCTGTGTGAATGCTAGAACTGAGAGGATAACATGTAAAAACAATCATAGTAGGTAGACCACAGTATTTTGGATATCTGTRCAAACTGCAGAAATCAGGAGGCACTTGAGGTGTTTGAAATCTAACTTTCTTAAATATTGTCTTTAGAATAATTTACTAGGTCATCTTGGAGTCATGCAGTTGTATGCATGGAGTTGTATGCAGCTACAGTTGTTTGAAATTTTGAGTTTATTCCACTTACCTGCATTTTCCTGTATTTTTTAAAATTATTTTTAAATTAAAGATTTTTATATTAAAGATTCAAGTAAAGAGTTATTCTGCTTTTCAGTGACTCCCCATATAGTTTTACTGAAGAAGATTTCCACAGAGAAGCTAATGACGAAAAAGACATACCGGGTTACTCAGTCTCTTTCCCACAAACAGCTGTCCCTTACAGGACTTTGTGTTCCCAGACTGTTTTCTACTGTCTTACTTATGTGTCTATTATGTAAGACTAAATTCCCCTTTATTCTAGTCTTGTTTATCATTCAAACAAGTATTTCCCACCTAGATATTTGTAGGCATGGTCTTCTTTTCACATGATTCTGTTCAGTTAGTCCTATTATATACATAGTATATTCCCCTTCCAATAGTATTAACCTACTGCTCGTGTGGTCATAAAGCTCATGTTGCTACATGATACTGGATAACTGGATAACTAGATACTGGATAACTGGATACTGGATACTGGATAACTAGAAAACCATTCAGAGATACTGGTACTGCAGCACACATCAACGCATGCAATATTCCCAAAACATCTACTTGAGGAGTAAAAAGATTTTATTAAGTTAAGATGCCTCTCGTATGTGCATTGAATTAACATTGCTRCCTTTTTGTTGGTTTGTTTGCTGTRGTTACTAGGTAATTCCACAGACAACAACTCTGGAACTGGGTTATAATTGTTTTGAGAGAGTTGTGTTTCCATTTCCTGTTTATTTTTTAAAAGTCTGTTTTTACACACTCTTTTTTATTATTATTATTTTATTAAATACCTTGCTCTTAATTGTATTTTTTTT